CCTTACATGTGGCACAAATTCCGTGCACAGATGGGGCATCATCAACTGTTCAATTCTTGATCTTTGTCGATGGGTTATTTATGCCACTTAGTCGCGAAGCAGGTGTCAGATTCATAATCTTAACTCACGACTTTCAAACAATTGCAGCAGAAGGCAGGAAATGTTATGCAGTTGGAGCTGAAGATGCAGAGCTATGGGGACTCGTACAAGCTCTACGTAAGGTTCTGTGTTGCAAAGGTGTTTGTATTCTCAGATGCAGAAGCCCTAATCAAAAGAATCAAGGTCGTACATGGATAATCCTTGGCATTTCCAAATACGGATGAATCTACTATGGGAGCCATGAGACTCTTTTTCAGCTGTAAATATTTAGCATATAAAAAGGGACCTAAATATTCTAGTTCATAATTTAACTTACTTTGCTTGTTAAAATTAGAAAGACATGATCATCACAGCTATGTATATATTGAACTTATCTATCTATACACTTAAAGCATTTAGGAAATATACGGTAAACACCTTAGGCTTGAATCTATAGATGAATCTCCTTTGTCTAAAAACATCCATCCAAGTATTTCATATATTTCATCTATATTCATAAATTTTTGCAACTACTATCATTCATTTCGTTTTCTGAACGTTACTGAGCTTGAGTAAAGGTGTAAATCAAGCTGTACCGTCTACGGCCAGCACGGCTAGACCGAGCGAGCTGTATCACCCACAGCCTGGCCCAACACGACCCATATATATTATATAATATATTTATATAAATTATAATTATATAATAATATATAATATATTAATAAAATAAATAATTATTTTCAATTTTATTATATTAATTTATTTAATTATTATATATATATATATAAACAATTATATACATCAAAAGTTATATAAAATTAAAATTTTAAAATTTTTCAAAATTTTTAAATAAATAGTTTTGACCCAATCTACCCCAAGGTTTGGTCTACGGCTCGTTTTACAGCTCAGAGCGTAACTCGCACGCTCTCTTATCAAAAAGAAAGGTCGCACGCTCTCTCTCTCTCTCTCTCGTTCGCCTTTCCTTAATTTTATTCACAGTCCAGTCCACTTAAATCTATTTTAATTTTTTCTTCCCTGAGACTGAAGAAGAAATTGATGAGTCAGTGGTCCGAACTCCCACAGGAGTTACTGGTGTTAATCGCTAATCTCCTGACGACACGAATTAATATTCTCCGGTTTCGCTCGGTCTGTAGGTCATGGCGATCCGCCGTTACTCCTCCCTCACCTCTCAAAGTTCTCTTTCCAATTATCCCCGACCATGATCGCCGTTTATTTCCTCTCACGGAGAGCAATATTTACCTTCTCGAACCAGTGGAGCCTCGTCTGACGTGTTGTTCTGGTGGCGGGGTTTCTAAGGGTTGGCTAGTTAAAGTGGAAGAAGGAAGGCCAAAAGAATTTCGTCTGTTGTATCCGCTCTCTAGAATCCAAATTGTGTCTCCACAGCCAACATTTCCGCCGCTGTTAGATTCATCAGCCTTTCGAATCACTGAATTGGGTAAAGAGTACGTGATTCGTTACCCGTGGCCATTTAGCACTTGCACGGCTGAATTTTGGAATTTGTTTATTAAGAAGGCGATTTTATCCTCCTCTTTTTCAAATCCCTCTTCCATCGAGGCCAAAAATGATGATGAATATGGTGATTCCGTTGTTGCAACTGTGATCCTTGTATCAGGGAAATTGGGTTTCTTCAAATCAGGGGATGAGGGTTGGACTGTGTTGGAGGATCAAAGACATCAATATGAGGATGTTATGAATTATAATCGTCAGCTATGTGCCGTGGATCGAAGGGGTAGACTTATAGTCATTGATCACCATTCTTTGAAGGTGACAGTGATTGCATCTCGTTTAGCTGATAGCGGCAACAAAAAACAGTTGGTCGAATCGTTTGGGGAGCTTTTTTTGGTTGATAGGTACATCGAGGGCAGAAGCCATCATCGTGAAGTGATCAGTTATTATGAACACCACCCTGTTGCTATGGAGCACGCTCGTGCTAACATAAAAGACCGATTTATGGTTTATAAACTCGATGGGAGTGAGCGTTAGTGGGTTAAGGTGGAAAGCCTGGGTGATCGTGTGCTGCTGGGTGATAATTGCTCCTTTTCTGTCTCAGCTTCTGATTTTTGAGGATTTATAAGAAACTCGGTCTACTTTACCATCAATTTATTTGCTTCATCTAGACAAGGTAGTGCTAGATTGAAAACACCGTGTCATGATGTCGGTGTCTTCAACCTCGAGGATGGGAGCATTCAAGCATTAGCGTCTTATCCTCCGGGATATTCACATCTATTTGGGGCACCTCCCTCTTGGATCACATTGAGTCCATCCAAGGCTGGGTTCTGCAAGTAAGTTTATTTTGTAGTCTCTCTAATTACTTTTTAATAGTTTTTTGGTTGATCATGTATTGCTTAGAGTTACATACAGCCTTGAACTTGTTTGAATATGGGTTCTGGTGAATTCACGTCTTTTCTCTTTAGAACTTGTGTTCATTCTGGTGGATTTTCTTAGAGAGCTTGTGTTCTTTCCAACTTCAACGATGCCAATAGGAAATTGGTGCATCTTAATCCAAGATTTTCTCACAATGCAATTGTTGGTTCGTCTTATTTAGTAAATATGGTAGTCGAAGTGAACACAAATGATTTATCATTCAACATTACTGATTATTTCTCTCTTGTAAGTTGTAAGAATATGAACATGGTTTCGTGGGCAACTATTGTTTCTCGCAAGAATTTTATTGCTCTCCACTATGCAATAGGAAATTAGGAATCAATTTATAGATAACAATGCTAGCAAATGACTTTGTAGGACCATGACCATATACATACTCGAGTTGTTCTGAGTTTGCAATTGTTGAAATTGAAATCTCTTACTAGTGATAGCTTACATGGTGTAACAGCATCATTGGGGGGGTACCCATTCTTTCAATCCAGTTACCTAGGATGTTGTTTCCCTCCCTTGTATTCTTTCTAACCCGTTGCTTTTTGAATTTGGTAAAACTGCACAAAGTCCTTGGTTAAAGGACTTAAAACTGTAAACCTTGGTTCCATTCTCGTTCTATTTCTAAAGTTGACTACAATAGCTCAACAGTACTCTTCAAATAAAGCAGGTAGATATAAGTCTATAACCTCAAAGACCAATTGTATGATGTCTATCTAAACACATACACCTCCAACAAACCAAAAAGAGAAAAAAAAAACTCTACTTGATTTTCTATTGTATACATTTGCTCTGCTGGCGGATGTATCATATTAGAGACGGGTCAAAATTGCAACAAAATATCTCCTCTCTGTACCTGGCTGAAGTATCATACCGGAGAGGCACAACAGGGTAACAAACTATTTGGCCCTTTACAGCAGGAATGCTACTGAATGGGAATTCTCCATCCCTGGAGAGTAGCAAAAATATTCAAATAAATTAAAATAATAAATAATAAAGAAACCACTTCTGTCAAATTAGGCAAGTCAAGGCAAAAGAAATCAATGGATTTACGGTTAATCTCATATAGTAGAAATTTCCAAATGCATTAGATACCATCAAAAGAAAGAAAACAATAACATTATATATTTCTTTTTTATTTTTTGATAATTAAAAATTCTTGAAATAGTAAATGGTCCACGGATCTATTTGCCTTCTAACCATTCCTTTGCCTTCTCAAGTACTCAGACATCAATCAATAGAGAAATAACATTAATTCAACTTTAATTAATCTCTCTGTCACCGCTTCCATATTCTCTATCTTTATTCCATGTAGTATGGTTTTAAAACTAATTGCAGTGCATCCAATTAGCACTGCAGCGAGACAGAATGCATAATATTCTGCACCATCATCATCAATATAAGAGAACAAAGAAGAAAACGGCAGACACTCTCAGAGATCTTATGGCGTCAAAGGGCCAAGTTACATTTTTGCTAACTTTAAACAAAATTGCACGAAGGATGTGAAAATAGATTAGCCAAACTACAGAAAAGAGAGGAACAAAGACAAACATCCTAACAAAGTCATAAGCGTTCTAGTTTTAACATAAAATCATATTCGACCGATAAAGTTACTCCAAACATCTGTTGAAATTACATGTAACACTAGTGCTAACCTCAACTGGGTTTGATCAAAGTTGGGAGCGGCCAAAATAACTGAGAATAGCCTGGATAAGATGCTAATGGTCCAATGCTACCATTCTCTAAATCAAAGACGCCAATGTCATTAGCACTGAACCTGCCGTCTCCCTGCTCTCTGTCAGTGAAAAAGATGCAATTCCCTTTACACCCAGAGAAGTCACTGGCCGAGGCGGAGAATGAGCAATTGGCACCTATAAACAATATACGATCACCAAGAGTTTTTACCTCAACCCACTTCCGCCCACTATGATCTAGCTTGAAGACCTTGAGTTGTTTTGTTTCTTCTATGGTAACATGGTCATAATTTTGCTCCTGATTCTCATAAATGCTGTTTCCAGTGTTGAAACCCGTATCTATCAACTAAGAACAACTCCCCAGATGAGGCCACCAAGTGTTTCATATCTCCACCATCAACTATAGAAGATGCAACCTCTGTCACCTTTGTGACATTCAAAGAAAGAATCTCTACAGCTAGAGCTTTTCCAGTGTTATCAACTGCGTAGAATTTGCCATCGTAGCACACTACATCGTCGAAAGGAGATGGCTCATGTCCTAACACGGTCCACGATTCATCGTCTGCTCTAAAGAAACCCAATTTTCCGAAGCCGTATCTCACAGCAACTGCGTAATGGATCAAATCAAGGTTTGAGGAGGATAAGAGAACCGCTTTGTTGATAAATAAGTCCTCAAGCTCACAAATTAACACAGTGGGCAGGCGCTGGTCGGGGTAGTGAACAGCATATTCTTTACCCAATTCGAAGATACGGAAGTCCGATGAGTTCAATACCGGCGGAAATGTTTTCGGTATAGGGTTTATTTTGATTCTGGAGAGTGGGTTTAAGAGAACAGTTTTCTGTGGAGTCTCTCGTTTCAGCTTAATAAGCCAAGCTCCTCCTGCATGTAGCTGGCGAGGCTCCTCCGGTGGAGCAAGACGATAAATGATGCTCTCGTGTTAAGTCCTCAATACAGGTGGTGAGGCGCTTTGCAATCTCTGTCAACAGCTCCCTTGGGAGCTCAGACCACTGGACTTGACGGCTACGCATCCGTCTTCTTTACCTTCTTCTTCTTCTTCCACAATTGTAAGTGTGTTAGACGAGAGACGAGAGACGAGAGAGAGAGGGTAAACAGACTCTGGGAAAGTACGACTTATGTCAAGGATGTAGGCTGGTTGAATATGTGCCACATACGAGATGTGCATAGAGCATTAGCATTACACCTGGCTTTCAAGTCACAAGTCACAGCACAGGTGTCGGGCGGTTGGACCTGAAATTCAATTGTATGACATATGTCAACCGAGTTAAAACATATGCCAATTATGTTTGTTTGGCTAAAAACACAAACATATGTAAATATGTAATGTTGTATCATCTATGTACTATCTGGAAGTATGTTAATCCAGGAACAACCAAATAAAGTAAATTTACTAATCAGATCAGCACTATGAATACTGGGATGTATGAAAAATGAAAAATGCATTCTAAATAAAAATAATAATAATTACATTCCCTCATCCAATGTTTCCACTTTGGAGTTTCATTTCATTTCATGGTAGTGAAAATTCTGTTACCAAGAGCAACATATTTCAACTACTCTAATAGGCTCTGTCTCACCCTGCTAGCGCCCACTTTTTTTTTTCTTTTTAATCAAAACCATAATCTTCATTGCTGTAATATATTAGTAAAGGGCTGTATATCCATAACAGGGGCTTAGAAATCTGATATTCCATATTCCTGTTTTGCTTGCGCTATTTTGATTTTTGCATAATCTAAAAGAGTGAGACACAAAAAGTGTAGTATGTTCATAGTCTTGACATGATGTATCCTGTCTGCCCAGGATATATCTGCTGTACTAGTGCTCGCCCCAATGCAACCATAGAAAACAGCCAAAGAACCAAATTGCCACATGGGCCCAAAATGTAGTAGTGTACAGATACTGCTATTTATCTTTCTTCAGTTCAATACCATGCAAATTTAAACTTTGGTATGCATATTTACAGTTAATTGCTAATAACAAGTATCGCCGCTAAGCTACAGGACATCAATTTCATAGTTTCCATTTTTTTAATTAGCTCCTTTTCAGTTTTCACACAAGAGTATGATTGCTGTTCTTTCCATTCCAACAATTCAAACTTGGAGTTTTAAAAAATGTGAAGCTTGGCTTTTTTGTTGACAATGATTTTAAATACCTCATCATTCATTTAGATGTTAAAGTTTATGTTCAGAAAGAACCAAATTGCCACAGCCAGCTATATGACCTGCCTTTTAGAATGAAATGGTGAAATTTGTAATCGTGCAAGTTAAACAAACACCACATGATCAGAAAGCATGAAGAAAGTGTCAGAATTCTTGTCAATTGGTGTTGACAGTCTCTACCTCTTCATAGAATTGACCCCTTCCCCACAGAAAACAAACAAACAAAAACGAAAAAGAAAAGAAAAAGAAAAATCCCACAAAAAACCTTGGGGGCGTTCTTTTTTCAGATTTTGAGAGGGGAAAGATGGTCAATGGGGTTTTGGTTCCCATTGACCAAGAACCCCATGTTCTTTTTTCAGATTTATGTAAAGACCAGGAAAAGTTTATTTTCCTGGATATCACTACCCATCTCCTAGGTGGGTAAATAACTTTTCAACCCAGGGGAAAAATTGCTAACACTTGAATGGGACAAAATGCCCCTTTTGATAATGGATTTTTATGGCTAATATGATTATTTCCTTATTTACATGAGAAATAAAAGAACATGGGTAAATGCACTTATCCGGGTAAGTGTTTCCTAGGAAAAACTTACCCAAGTAACTGCATTTATCCAGTTAAATAACTTACCGAAAAGCAAACAGGGCCCTAATAATAAATATCATTACTGCAACTAAGGGGGTGTTCGACAATATGGTTGGTTGTTTTCAAAAACAAAACCAACCATGTTATCGAACACCCCCTAATTAACCTAAGGCCCTAAGTTCTAAGAAAACAAGTACAACTGAGGTGGGGATCCAATTAAAGTAGTAGAATATCTAATATAATGATCAAACTGCATAATATGTACATGGGTGAGGTACTAGCAAAGAAGTAATTAACCATGGTAGTACAAATACTGCAAAAAGTACAATAAAATAAGCTTATTTTGAACTTGGCCAACATCTAAGATCAGTCACGGCCAAAAGGGATGCTCAACCTACTAGGTACAACTGAAAGAAACTTGTTTCATTAATACGGTTCAACCTCACTTGAAACCCATACCAGATTGACTAATTTAATTTCCCCTTAGTGGTACCTAGGGGTGTTCATTATACGGTTCAAACCACAAAACCTAATCGAACCAAACCAAATTTATGGTTTGGTTCAGTTTATACTTATAAATGGTTTAGTTCAGTTTGAGAATTTTCTAAATTGCGGTTTGTGGTTTTGGTTTAGTTTATTGAATTTTATAAACCGAACCAAACCGTAAACCGTAAACTGAAATTTTAAATACATACATACATATATATATATATATATAATATGAATGTATGATATGTATAAATATTATATATAACATCTAAATGGAATGCGTAAAATTATAAATATATAATTAATGAACTCTTTATTTTATAATAAAATAATAAATAAAAGTTTTAAGTTTTAATTTTTAGGAGAGCTATTTAGGCTTTCTAATTGGGTTAAGCCCAAAAGAATCATAGAATGGTATATAAAGTCCCCAAACCATATTAGAAACTGCACCAAACCGTAATAAAACGGTTTGGGTTGGTTTGGTTTCCATATCAAAACGGTTTGGTTTGATTTAGAAACTTCTTAAACCGTAATTTACTGGATTGGTCTGAGATCTTCTCCAAACCGCATCAAACCGGACCGTGAACGCCCCTAGTGGTACCTTTCATCAGAAAAGATTTTCTTCCTAGCATCAAATGATAGAAATAAAACAAGGCAAGAGTACAACCAATAGTTTGTTGTTATAGCAAAACATTTGATTGAGATTGGATGCAATGCAGGTGCATTAATTATTAATTGTCTTGAAAATATGATTACCATAACCAGATGAAAAGTCCAAACTCCAAAGTTTAAACATCTTCTACAAATGAGCATATGCTAATCCCAATAAATGTTGTATTAGAATAACACCAATCAGAGGAGAAATTTGCTTATAAAAATTAGTATGTTAAATCAACTTAACATTGTCTTCAGCACCAATAACCTGTACCTGTCAAAGAAGTAATATCATGACATTTTGTTTATCCAAGTTGAGCAGAAAGTGAAGCTCTTACATATAATTTGGAATTCCTAACAACAGTATTTCTGAAGGTTTTGTGCCTTGCACATTAAATGACCAAATCTGCAAATTAATTAATTAACATTGGACATCACACTAATTCCATTGACAAAGGTCACAGTATGAAGAACAAAATTAAAATCTAATATCAACATTTAATTCAAGCAGGATTTCATAAGCTTCTCTTTTGAATTTACTAATAATGCATTTCTAATGTTTAATTTACTATACTGCATATAAAACTTGAACTCTTGCATAGAAATTGGCATCCTATTAACTCCAAAAGACCTTCAAGTTTCCATTTTCACAATTTACAACCATAGTAGTGTTGACGACCATACCATAACAATTACAAAGATATTCCCATATATAGTGAATGAGAAATAGCCATGTCTCATTCTGGTGGTGCTGCATTATGCCGCCCTGAGTTATCAAGTTTGACATTTTTCTTCTACCTATCCATTGGTTGGGCTGGTTCTCTTGTTTTGTAACTCTTAGACTGATATGGATGTGTAAACCAAAATACTTAACGACAAGGAAGGAAAAGACCAATTAGAAAGAATACCCTAAAAGGAAAAAAAAATTAACAGGTTACCCAATCAGAAACTAATTTCAAAAAGAAACAGAGAGAGAGAGAGAGAAAGAGAGAGGAGGGGGGGGGGGAACATATATGCAGTCAAATATTCACTACAGATCTAATAGAAGCACAAGTAACAACAACCAATAGGGGTGCCTTGACACATTGGTGAAAGGAGCTAAGAAACACAAAATATGCTATTATTATAAAGCTGCATGAACATCCTTTCACATACAAGTTTCCACAGTATTGATTTTCTTTCACAGCAAGTTTAGTATAGGCCCTAGGCTGAGATTATCTTGCAGTACAGAACATATTTCGATTGCACTTACTGTTGTAAAATGCTGCAGTTACTTCCAACACCTCCAAACCCAAAGCAGCTAAAATAATTGAGAGTAGTCTGGGAAAGATGCTAACACTCTAACACTACCATCCTCCAAGTTGAATACGCCAACATCATAACTGCTGAGGCCACCATTTTCTTCCTCATACAAACACAGATATTCATGTGTAAAATAGATAGAGTTCCTTTTATAACCTGAAAAATCACAAGATGAGAAAGAAAAAGAATGGCTGTCACCCACCATGAAAACCCTATCTCCCAAGCTTTTCACTTCAACCCACTTCTGCTCACTAAAGTCCAGCTTATAAACTTTAAATCGAGCTGCTATGTCGGAACCACCTTGATCAGTATTACACCATTCAATCTCTTCTTCCTTGGTAAAGACGACAGGGCCTCGGTCGAGGTACCTATCAACTAAAAACAGCTCTCCAAGCGAGTTTACCAATTGTTTTCTCACGCCACTATCAACTATTGGATGTGCCACTAAACTTGCCTTGAAAGAAGACTGGTCAGCAACTACAGCTCTTCCCGACCTATCCACTGCGATGAACTGCCCATGGTGGTGCACAACATCCTCGTAGCGGTGCGGTTCATCATCCAGCACAATCCACCCCTCATCTCCTGGTTTAAAGAAGCCCAATTTTCCAGAACGGTAGATAGCTGCAACTGCATAATCATGGGAGGTGGCAATCGAAACAGGATTCGAGTCCGAGGGGGCTAAAATCGCTTTCCTAATAAACAACTCCTCAAATTCATGCACAGAAACGGTCAATGGGCGGTAACCGGAATAGCGAAGAATATAGTCTTTACCCAATTCGGAGAATCGGAAGTCCGATAAGTTCAACACAGCGGGAAACGTGGCGAGCGGCGAAGACTTGATTCGGGTTCTTGAGAGTGGATTCAAGAGAAGAACTTTATGATCAGGGCTCTGTTCTTCAACCTTGATCAGCCAACCACCTTTGGAAGAAGCTCCATGTCCATGTGGAGAGTCTGCTGGTTGGAGAAGATAAACCGTGGTCTCGTAAAGGGAGAAGACACCGCCAATGGTTTCTCTGATGGAATCCCTGGGGATAGCCGGAAAAGGTAGCTGGAGGGGTAAGAAATTGGGGGAAACAGAGTATCGCCATGACCTGCAGACGGAACGAAACCGGAGGATGTCGATGCGGGTGCTTAGACGTTTAGCGGTGGCAGCTAATAATTCGGTAGGGAGCTCCGACCACTGGACTCTATCCATACTCTTCCTCCAATTCCCAATTCATTCATTATCATGTCTCTCTCTAGTCTCTACACCACAGTCTACAGAGATGAGAGAGTATAGAGAGGGGTTTTTGACTTTTTGAAAAACTGTTTGAGTGCTCGGTCTCTTTTGAGCGAGTCAAGACATTAACCGGCCATTGGATTGGAATCCAGTCGGCACAAACAACCAACCCAGCATCGACAGTACACACTTGACCCTGATGTTTATCGCTTTTTATCTCATTCAATTCACGTGAGTGAGACGAGACATTCAGGGATGTTTGGTTCCGTTGCGTTTATTGAAAAAACGTCGAATCAGCGCCACATAGGGTTAACGGATTGACCCATGACCCGATCCAATCCAACCCAGTTTTTTCAGGTCGGACCCTAACCCTGTTTTTTCGAGCGCAGGTTGAATCACTTTTTTGCCAGGTCTACTACGATAGCAAGGAACAATTTGGTAGTATACGTTATACGTTCAAATATGAATTTATTTGCGGTCATTAATATAAAAAGTTCCACAATTTTTTTTATACAAATTCAATTGCCTATCAATAAATTCATGATATCTTCTTACTTCCATAGGCTGACGATACCTGTTTATCCTATATACAAATCATACACACGAAATCTAGGGACCATTGAGTCACAGTCTGAGAAAAAACTACTTGGCGCAGATTTACATGCGTGAGAACTGATGTTGGTGTGCTGCTTTCTTAAAAACATGGAAGCATCAATGCTTCGAGTTCAAATCAACGCTAAAATTTATAGATAAAATAATTCATGATATCTTCTCACTTCGCCAGGGAATCCTCATTTAAATCGGGAGGTTAGTTGTCATTTCATGTGTACTCTTCTTAGTGCTGAATTTCACCTTTTTGTGAATAAAACAACAATCTTTGAATGGGGTCGCAACTCGCAGCACAGAATTCTCAGTCTTAGCAATAATATTCCGGTGATCCATTATGCAGCAGATTGGCAATTTCTCAATTAACTTGGTCTCTAAAACGGCCTTCTTCTGCCTGCGAGGAGAGAAGTGGTGTTTCTGGTCCACAGGAGCTTCATTTTCATCAAATTCAGCCAATTTATCTAGCCTGAGTATTTCAGAATGAGATTTTTTTTTTTTGGAAAGCTTGATTGTTCTTCATCTCTAAGGTGTTAAGAGAAGGAATAATTGAAAATGCTTGACAATGTTTAGAACCCATCTTTCTTTTATATTCAAATAAAAAAGTGGATGCAACTTGCAAGTTATTGATATACAGTGCTGCTGCAGTATTGTGTTATCTCCTAGAATTCCTCTTCTTCAATAAGCAAATACTGTACTAATCGGGGACAAAACCCAAATAGAACTATAAAATGTAGAGCTTCGGTTTTCCACTACTTTCAACATTTTTTTCTCACAAAGGGTTTAGGATCCAGGGCTCAACTCATACCCCAAAGTCAAAATAACTACCAAAAAAAAAAAACACCTAGTACCTCAATAGAACCTCTTAGACTTGCAGCTCTAAGATGAGTCCGGATCTCCTGCACTTGCTATCTTAAACCCGGTTCTGAACTTCCAATGAAAATCAGACACATCAGCAATGCATGGAGTGAGAAGAGGCATGTGTGAGCAATAGACAGAGGCTGGGCCTTCAAAAACTCACCCTATTTTGAAATTATAAAAAAAAAAAAAAAAGAGAGAGAGAAGAAGACAGCTTTGACAAATACGATTGTCCTTGCTGCCCTAGAGAAAAACAGGACTGCTTCTCCAACAAGTGCCTTCAACTAATCATTCATTTCTTTCTGCTTCACAGTGCTTCAGCACCTCCCTTGAACAGAGAACAGTCCCGTGAAAGGTAACTTCTTTTGGAATTTGAAAGGAGATTCTGGACACTGATCAAGTTCAATGAAGTTTATTCTCCTAGGATACGGTTTTGTTTCCACAACCACATGTGAATGGAAAAAATGTCTCTGCTACAGCACAGAATGCATAAAGTCATTGAAGGGAGGATACATTTCATGTCAAAATTGAGATAAAGTCATCCTTTACCGGAACTGTACAACTCACAGTCTCACACATGCACATAAAGCATCTAAAACCAGCATTTTGGTATATGGAACAGAGTCAATTCTCATGTAATGGTTAACAAAGAACACTACATAGAATTCTTGAAAGTGACAATGACTATCAGTTCCAAAAGTTGGATTACATAATTCTAAACAAGCCAAGAGTCAATTGTTATCCAGCTCTGTTGAGTTTGATGAACCAAATAAGGGGGTAAGGAATAAAAGGCAATTTACCATGCTAGAAAGACAAACATGTACAGAAAAAAAAAATTAATCCACATCACCTTTAATGGTATTTTTACAACTAGATCCTTCTTCCTCCACCTAATTGCTGGAGCCACCATCTCCTGTTTTCCAGACAGAAAGATTTGGCTCCGCTTGGTTCCTCACAGGGTTTCTTTCTTTTTGTGGGAAGCTGGATGAAGCTACCGCAAAGGCTACGGATTTAGAAGTGGAGAGCAAATTGAAGAAATGACTTAAATATCTTTGTGTATGACTCCTAATCGAATTGTTTGGGATTCAGAAGTGAAAGAAATCATTTTATCTATTAATAGTGGCCAAATTGGCATATTACCAAATGGTCCAAATGATGCCCCCTATTGCTATATGCACCTCTGCCGATACACAGAGGTGTATGATACTTTGAACCTTGAGATTGGTGGCTTGTGGGTTATGTCGGTATGTCCTTGACATATTCTGAGATGGCAACTTTCATTGGGTTCCTCCAAACACCATTTGTGATTTCATTCGCCAATGAAAAGGAAGTAAAACGGGAAAAGGGGGAAGGATCTACTGGAAGGCAATCATCCATGCAGTGACGTAGGACATTTGGGAAGAACGCAATAGAAGAATTTTTGAAAATAAATGCACTTCCTTGTTAGACCTTAGAAGGTATATTCTTTCTACAGTAAACTCGTGGATGCGGACTGATAACAGCTTCTCCGGAATCAGCTATGGTAATCTTGATAGAAATTTTTTTTTTTTTGGGGGGGGTGGGGGGGGGCTCTTCATCTTGAGAGCTGATGGCAATCTGATTTGGGCTTTTAGTGGTCACTGCAAAGGATCATCTGAGCTGAAGTTCGAGTCCTTCTTGAGGGTCTCAGATTTGCCAAAGGCCTCCTCTTTCTGGTTCCTTGCTTGTGGAGGGGGATTCTAGAGTTGTGATTGGCTGGGCTATCGATTTTGGGACAGGTCCCTGGAGCCTGGCTCATTTCCTGTATGAAATACATGAACTTTTTGTTTCTCTTGGCTGCTGTTATAGATGGATTCTGGGGAGGTGTTTTTTTTTTCTATAGTGCTAATAGCTTAATGTCTTAATGGGGCTTTTGGATTTTTTGCATAAAGGCCCCCCTTATATTGTATATCCTCTTTGTATTTCTCTCTGTTCTTATTTGACTTCAGGAATAGTGAAAGTTCAAGGGAGGTAGAGAGACACTGTGAAGCAGCGACAAATGAGTCCCCTTCGATTAGGTGAGGGAGCACTCCTATTTCTCTCTTTACTAAGCAGCAATAATAGTCCTATTCTCCAAAGCTGTCTTTTTCCTCTCTCTCTTTTTTTTAATTTCAAAATAGGTGAGTTTTCAATGAAGGCCTAACCCCTCCATCTACTTGCTCACACATGCCTCTTCTCACTCCCGTGCATTTCGCATGTGCCTGACAAGTGCAGAAGATCCAGATTCATTGCAATTGCACTAGCAAAGAATTAAAAAGAATAGCTTCATTTGTACTCAGCCCGGTGCACTTGCAAAAAACTTGATCAGTCATAGTTAAGATTTCAGATATTCAACAAACCAGAAGGAAAAAATTGGTCAAAACCTGATGGCCTCCAAGTAGAAATTAAAGAAAGTGAATCAAATAACACCTCACATGCAAACAGTGGTCAATCAAACATGACAAAGTAGCATCCTTGCTTGGTTTATAGAAATTTAACTACAGAGCTATGTTTATGAGGAAAAACAAACAAAGAAAGGATTAAACACACCACAGAGAGAATGAAAAAGTTGACTGGTAGTACCAGCATCCATCAACCATAGACATTTTCCCAAAGTCAGTCAAAAACAATCACAAGGTGAAGTATGCATTGGTGCTGAAAGAAACTGGAAAGCCTGCAATAGAATCATTAATAATGCAGCAATAGCATGTTGGCCTGATTCATCAGGTCAGGCATGAGGATATCGCATGTCCAACTAGGTCCAAAGAATTGGGCTGAACTGTCAAATAATTTTACCATGCAAAGCCAAATAGGAGCAGAGGCGTAATGCATGGTCTCGCAATAGACTTACCCAAGACTAGAGTGAGACCCCTGAAATTTCCAACATCAATCACTCTGCTTAGAGAGCCCCGGCATATCAATACCGAGCACCGATCTAAACACAAACAATTTTTTAATATCTAGGTGGTGCAAACACAAAACAGAATTAGGCATAAACCATTTATTCCCGTTGTTATCTTTGTAAAAACACTTTGTTTGATCTGCTCTAAGATATAATTTAAAGAGTGGATCATTCTAAAAGAATTCTCCAACCAATTTATTAAGAGAACCCTTCAACATATATAACTAAATTTTCATTATTAATGAAAATTCTAGCCCATGTGCTGAAAGGTTGGGTTCTTGATTACCAATTATAACTTATGGTGTAAATAAATGTCACCAACTTAATGCCATTGTCCCTTGTTCAGTTCTTCCATGTGTGTCTAGTAACATGGGTACATCAAGTTTCTAGTAATTTCTGTCATGTGGCACTAATGCATTCAATAAACAAATGGTGACCATAGTTGTCAAGGTGTCACCTGGGCGCCTGGCCCAAATGCCTTGGCTTATGGCAACTAGGCAACCTTGTAGGTGACTAGGAGCCTGCCTAGGCAACAAAAATGACAAGGTGGGCACCTAATAAAATATCACCTATATTGTTGTGTCTTATTAATATGTGTGTTAATACATTTTATTATATGCTATATATGTATCATTTATACTTTGTTTTAATGTTTTACTATTGAAATTTAAAAGATCAAAGGGTTTTGAAGAGAGAAAAAGAAAGGAAGAAAGCAATTGAATGAAAACTAAGAATTTAAGACCTAGCATGGACTTGTTTGAGCTTGCCTCGAGGGGTGTGGCACAAAGGGGGCTCATAGAATCAGGAATGTAATATGTTTTACATTACATTAGCTACTTGAAGTAATGCAATTGAATGAAAAAAGATAATAGAGGTTTTACATGTTTGAAAATGTTTTATATGTTTGATTTTATTTTTAAATTCTCATTTGAATATGCTTTACATCTTATGTTTATGTATTTTAATTTTAGATAATAGTTTTTTAAAAACATTATTTTAAAATTTAAGTTTATATTTTTTATTAATATTATGTTTAATATTTTTTTATTTTTTTTTTGAATATTTTGGATTTTTTTATTTTCTGACATTTTTATGATTTTTTAGCTTTTTTTTGAGTATTTTTGTGTCTTGCTTCAAAAAGGTGCGTGCCTTGCCTTGCACCTCAGGCGCAAATTGACCCCTGCACCTTTTTTGCGCCTTTGCGCTTTTAAAACACTAGTTAAGATGTTAAAAAAAATCATTCTGAACTCATCAATAATTTTCAATTATAACAGCATAAAACAGCAACCAACATACCTTATAATGACAAGAAGATATTGTCCACATACTTAGAAAGCATCAAGGGTCATTCTGGAATGGATAAGCTATACACACACACACAAATTCCAATCATCCATAAAAGCACCTAACAGAAAAGCAACATTTTTTCTTGCATTTAAAGTACAAAAGATACAATTTGCAAGATGTCTTCTGAAAAAATGCATTGCGGATTTGTAGCATAGAGTTCCAAATAGCATATATGTAAGTCAAAATTTTGACTTTATCAAGCTTTATTCAGAGCTTAAAATGTGCAAGTATTAAATGCATAGAGGGAAGTAAACAGCAGGGAACAATAAATTCCTTCACCACAAAATCTAGACCATATTGGAGATAATCTGGCATGCCAGAAATAAATACAATACGCATGAAAACCAGTTAGCAGTTGTTGATAGCCACTGTTTCCAAAGAAAACCAAGATAAATTTAGAAATGGAATACAAAATATTGGCTACAATTGCTATCAGCACCTGAACAGCTGAATCCAGGCACCGATATCCTCCAAAAATTACTCCATCACATTGTGAACTTGCACGCTTTCCCCATTGGCAGTTTTTCCATTTTACCCACCAACACGCAAATCAGGATAATTACGGTGGTTTAAAGAGTGCAACCAAAGAGCCACGACTCCCTCTTTCTGTTCTGTGAAGGAAATATGAGTGTAAATTTGCTGTATTTTGAAGTCCTCTGCCTCTTCTTTGTAAGCTTCCATAGAAATCTCTTCATGGGAGTCTTTCCACTTCTGGTTGTATGAAGTAAAGAGGCACTCATCCAAGTAAAGTCCAACCTCAGGAGCAGTAGGGACATTGATGTTTATATCCCTGATTTAGGGGAGGGAAAAGAGTAAGAGAAGGATGTGCATGGTATTCCAAGACAAAACGATTCAAACAATAGGTACTGTCGTACTGAAATATTACTTACTTCTGAAGTGCAATGTTGATTAACGATTCAGGTGCACAATTCCGCATTACTGCCACCGCTAGCCCGACCATCTTCCGAATCTGATGAAGCATGAAGCTCTGACCCACAACCTCGCACTTAACAAAGTCAATCCCTTCAACAGTGACAACCTTATTTGCATCAAATGACACAATATAGCGATTGGCAGAGGGGTCTTCAACCTTTGTTCTTGTCGTAAAATTATGGAAATTGTGTGTTCCCTCATAATGCTTGAGAATTCTATTGAACCTTTCTTTCTCCTTCTCACCATAACAAAAAACTCTGCCCTTTACGGCTGCACCCCCTCCATTACCACATCTAACCAGATTCTGTTCATTTTCTACCCAAGAAGCTTTAGGCTCCTCTCCTAATTTAGGCTGCAAAGAAGAAGAAAATTTGTTCAAAGAAACTCTAACCTGATCTGCCTGTTCCGGATGGGGAGCAGCAGCGCTGTTGTCTGACGAAACCAGACAAGGATCCACTGCTAGCGCAAAATTGGATAGAGCAACGGCGTCAATTGAAGAAACTTCAGGTTCAATTTTGGTTTCAGAATGTGAAAGGACGGTAATAACATTGTCCGAAGTAAGTCCAGATTGGGAAGCATCATTACCGCCATTTTCTACATTTTTTGATTCGCTGTTTCGTCGACCCATAACACCTGCAACCTTGCGCCCCCTCTCAGAACATTCCAAACACTTAACAAGCTCGTTTTCAGAACCCAAGCTCGCCAGCACACTCTCTCTGTCACGATGAGAACTAGGATCAAGAGCAAAGACCGGAATTAGATAAACGTACCTCCGGCGGTCACAGAATTTCTTCGCGTTGAAGGAAGACGTCACACGCTTGAATCCAAAAATTCGAATTTGAGAGGGAAGATTGGAGTTGAGACGATCAACGAGACCGGGAGGGTCGATGTAGAACCGACCAGAGACGACCTGGCCAACGGCGCTGACACCCTTATCCGTGCGAGCAGAGCGAGCCCAGTCAAAACGCTTGGGGTTGCCGCGGTCGACTTCGGGGACTGCACCAGATAGATATAGGGCTTCTTCGAGATCGCCTTCGATGGTCTTGGCACCGGGATTTTTCTGCATGCCTTGATAGCCTACGCCGCAGTAGGCGAAAAAGATTGCTACCTTGCGCCGCTTATATCTTCGTTTTCTTTGGGTTGTGGTATCGGCTGAGTTGGGATTGATTTCGTACTCTTCGTCGTCAGAGGTGGTGGTGGTGGTGGAGGACATCTTGAGTTTCTTGGATTCGGGTTGTTATGGAGGAGAAGATGAAGAGTCGCCCATGCCTCATAACCTATGACCATAGCTGTGGATTGCCTTTTTCGCATTTCCCATTTGACTGAAGAAAGGGTAACTAGTACCAGAATTACTGCTTAATTGTTCGAAATTTGGAGTTGCAGAGTGTAATTGGGGGTTCGACTCGGCAAGAGAGATCAACAGAGTGACTGGTTCGAATTTGCAGTGACCGCTAAAACCCTAACAACGAACTAACGAAGGTAAAATATGTGATTTGCTGACGATGAGTTACCGTCTAAATCACTCGTCTTTGGCCTCTCATCGTATGTAAATCTAGAAATCTACTGTTCATGTCGGGCCGCCGCTATGGCTAATTTTTTTCTAGTCCGGCCAGCCCGGCCAACAAACTTTCCAGAGCCATCCTTACCAAGCCCACATTAAGCCCAGCCCGACCCATGAACACTCTTGGCTCCGGCATTCCCTTTTTTTCTTTATCCCAATCCTGTGCTTCTAGCATTTTTGCCTGATATCGTTCCCAATTCTCTCAATCCACCACGTCACCATGGGTAACCAATTCAATTCTTCTTAACATCTCTCTCTTTTTGTATGTATGTATATCAATTTTATTTTATTTTAATGTTTTATTATTAAAATTTAAAAGATAAAAGGGTTTTGAGGAGAGAGAAAAAGATAGAAATAATAGAATTATAAAAATGTTCTTTTTTCTATTCTCTCTTTCTAATTAAATAAAACAAAAACTCCATCCTTATTATTTTCTATTTACCTTTCCATCTTGAATATTTATCAATTATTGATGATGCGCAATCTGGTTGGTCCTAGTTGCAGGTTACCTTGCCTCTGACGAAATTGGAGGTGTCTGAAACAAGGAAGAAAATGGAAGCTTCCGGGGAGGAACCCTGTTGGAACACTCCGAAGCTCAAGTTAGTGCTCTTGAGAAGGCAAGGAAAATGAGGAATTTCAAGACTAGAAAGCACAAAAATACATACCTCCTTCTTTGGGGGAAGGGGGCCTTTTATAATCACCTTGGTACACTTACTCCCATACCTCTGCCAGATCGAGCATCATCACCTCCGTCAGATCGGGTGTCATCATCTCTGTCAGACGCCAGTTCAGGTGTCATAACCTCTGCCAGTTGCCAGTTCGGGGGTCATAACCGCCACTGTCCTTGCCAGGGCCGTCTCTACCACGTCTGAGATGGCGGTGGTAGGTGGCCGTTGGAGGGCGGCTGTCATGTGTCAGACCCCTAATCAGTCAGGCGCGCCGCCTCCGTGTACGGGCTTCCTGGGTGTCAGGTACGGTTGTTCAATCAAGCGACTTGAAGCCGAAGTGGTGTGCGAGGTGAAGTCTTGAGTTCGGATAGAAGTGTGGCACGAACTGCCTCGGGGTGGGTCAGCTCGGGTTTTTTGCCCTTTGCACTCCTTGTAACACTCAGGACCCCCAAGGGAGAGCTCGGGTTCTTCCTTGGGGAGCTCGGGTCATGGGTTCCTTTTTTAGGGGAGCTCGGGACTCTTTTTCTCGGAACTCGGGTTGTGGGCCCGCTGCCGTGCCGAGCTGGCGCTTCTGCCAGGTCACTCTCGGTTGCTTCCACGTGTCACGTGGCCAAGGGGTCGGGCCAAATCTCCCTCCATCAATTATCATATAAAGTTAATAAATTTCTTTAGCTACTAATTGATATGAAATTGCTCAATTAAATACTTATTATAGTAGTATTATTTTTGAAAATAATAAAATTAATATATGTAAAATATTTTTATCTTTTAGATGTAATGATTTGTCACATTTCTAGAGGAAATTTAATATTCTTAATAAAGAGAATTACTATTTTTTCACTTAATATACATGTTGGATGCTAAATAAAACTAGGGAACTAACCAAAATTAGTTTTTTATACTATAACAATTTTATCGCCTAGGCAACTAGGTGACACTGCAACTAGGCGCCCTAGTGTCGCCCATAATCGCCTAGACACCTTGAAAACTATGCCCTACCCCTCTTCATATTTTTCCCTTTTTTCGACTCAATGTCACCACCATTTCAACTACCCTATCATTTTATTAATGTATAAATAATTTTTTAAGTTACTAACCTTAATTTTGATAGTATTAATTTGATAACATTAAAAAAATTAATTATATTTAATTACATTAATCAAATTTAAATTTGATTACATATAGGTGAATTTAAATTTAATGTAATTTGTTTTTAATAATAGTAATTTAATTAAGTTAGTTGTAATTTTGATTACGCTAGTTTAATTCATTTAAATATTAATTAATTATATTTAGATAACTCTAGTTAAACCTAAGTAAAAGTAAGGTACTTACTAAAAAAGAAATCCTTATATCCATTATTTAAGAATTAAAAGAAGAAGAAACCATATTTATTAATTATTTAATTTAAATTATAGATAAAATACTTAAATTTTGAATAATTAATTAATATCTTTGGGCAAGTACTTTAGTTTATGTTAATTTGGATAAAGTAATTTAGATAATATTAGTTTACAATAGGGGTGGCAAATTTCCCCATAAAACCAAGGCCCACCCCAAATGGAGTGGATTTTCCCTAATCTTAAATGGTGATGGGATAGAGATGGAAAAAATATTTTTTTTCCTGAATTGGGATGGGGTTTGTATATGATTCCTCGAGCCCACCCCAAACTAGGAATGGCATTGAGGTGGGGACCATATGGCCCCATCCTGACCTTGACTTTAAAATAAATCCCCATCTCTAACCTTGATCTCCACCAGTGATAAAAACGCCCCTCTATCCCTGACCATTGGTGGAGATGGGTTCCTCATCTGGGACCCGAATCCCTAAATAATATAAATAATATTATATATAATTGGGGTCGGGACAGGGCAAGGAACTCCCCATCCCCAGTCAAATATCACTATCAATTTCTGTCCCCGCCAAAGGTAATCTCCATCCCTAATCCCATCGGGTTGGGGAAGCTAGTACTTAGCGAGGACAAGGAAAATTGCCATCTCTACCTCAAATTCAATGGTAAATTAGTAAAATACCCATACATTTAATATTAATTTCTAAAATACCCCCCGAATTTCTCTCAAATTCCCAAAACCCTAGGATCCCATAATTCTATTTCTAGAATACTTTGAAATTGTCATATTCAATTCCTAAAATACCCCTAAATTCTCATAATCATATTTCTAAAATACCCCCAAATTAGATGTATTTTATGTGGTTGCCTAAGGGCAAGGAAAATTTAGGGATCCCGTGTCCCTAATAGAGAGTGAGTGCTTTGCCTCAAACCCACCCTACTACTAGGGACAATGTAGGGGTAGATTATCTTAGCTATGGGGCAGGAACGGGGAGGGAGTGCCTTACCCAATTGCTAATCATACTTTAGGGTGATGTTTGACATTGATGATGATTTCCAAGAAATCGGCATCACATAGGATCCACATCAGAATTTGAAGAATCGATGATTTTTTTCTTGCTTGGTTGGCCGATTATGTCGATTTTTAGGAAATCAACCAAAAATCGATTATTGAAACAATCCCTTTTCAGGGATCACATTTTCTGGTGATTTCCTGATTTTTAACTAATTCAGATTTTTTTAGGATGACACGGCATCAAACATAGCATTGAATAATAACTCTAATACAAAAATAATTGGCCCTTGAAAATCAGTACCAAATAAATTCAAAGCTGATTTATCAAAAATCAACTTACATGGCATAAGTGATACAAAACAACAATTTTTGATGATTTTTCAAAAATCACTGATTTCTAGATAATCGGAAAGGAGAAATTATCATTGATGCCAAACATCACCTAGATAACTACTATTAAGGATATTTATTAATAATTACTATTAATATTAACATTAAAAATTAATAGAAGTTATTAAGAAAATAATATTTACTAAAAATTACTTTTAATTGAAAGAATTAACTTAGATTAATACGTAAACTACTTAAACCTCCCCTATAATTTGACCTATAAAAAAACCTCTCTTCACATTTGGTATAAAATTACTATAATGCCTATATTATTCACTAAACCAGTTCAGTGCCATTATTCAAATTTGCTAAATAAGTACAGTGCATCGTATGGTCCCAACTATTACTCATTGAAATTTATTTCATTCCCTATGGCTCTATGGTGGATTGGACATGGGCTAGGTCTAAGGACAGTCTGGCCCAAGCCCAAGCTTAAAGTTAAGCCCTAACCGATCAAAATAGAGAATAAAAATATGGGTAAATTACAAAGACCCCTTGTACTATGGGGTCTATGATGGGGTCTGTGACAAAGACCCCTCTATACTTTGTTTTGCGACAAAGACCCCCTTATACTATGACCGTAAGACAAAATCCCCCCTTGACCGTTAAGTTAGATAACAGAATGTGTTAAATTACCAAAATACCCCATTAAACTTTTTCTATTTTCTTTTTTTTTTGCCCTTTTCCCTTTCTTCTCTTCTTTTCCCCTCCCTCTCTCGTTCTTTCTTTGTATGGGCAATCCTCCGACCCTCCAAGCCCCAGTTCACATTGCAAGACGCTACAGTATGTCAGTTTAACATCTCCAACGGGAACTTCCTCACCTAAAATTGTACATATTAGCCTCCCTATTCTGGGTATCTTGCCTCAGATATAGCCATCAACAATATACTTAGAATTTCGAATCCATTAGTGTCTCGGATTGTTCCTTTCCCCTCCTTAAAAATCTAAGAATTAACAAATAACACAAGCATTTGGATTCTCTTCCACACTCTGGACATAGCAGTGAGTGGTCATGTGGGGATTATAAGCCTGGTAGGCCTTGACCAAGTTCTAGATCTGCTGCTCCACTGGATCTTTCTTGGGTTCCTCCTTCTTCTTCTTAGGCTCTTTTGCAGGCCCTACAAAAACTATGTCTGTGTGCCAGAGTTTGCATAGCTTGCTCACCACATCTACGGGATCCACGTCTCCGACAACTGTCAATTTCTTCTCTTTCATGTCCATGGCGATGGGATCAATTCCCACAAATTCTTAAAGATGAAAAACACAAAAGTTATTTTGATAGCTTCAGGCTATTTTTTCTTTCTCAAAACTGAGATTGCTTACTTCAGTTCAATAAGAAAATAGGATAAAGATCATCTTGATACCTGAAAGGCTAGAGACTGCCTTCATGGCCTTCTGCTTGGCCTTGTCATCATGTAAATCCAACTTCAGCACCACCTTCTGTATCAATTAAAAAAAAATGAACAAAAAAGCCTCAATTAAGATCAAATCAAACTCCTGGTACAATCAAAGGTTCTGAAACTCCCATTGAATCAGAACAAAATAAARTCCAACAA